AGACGTTCCGTCGCCTCCCTGTCTTTTATTACAAATCCTTTCATGGTAACTGCTCTGGATGAGCTGCTTTCGTTGGTTCCCAGACTTCATGAATTTAAGCGTTCTACTAGGTTAGCATCTCACTCTCACCCTTTCACTGTCGAAACTGTTAAATGTAGTCGTCTCTCCTACTCCAATAGCTTCATGTCTCGCACTTCCCGCTTGTGAAACTCCCTCTCCTTTTCATGTTTCCCTGATAGCTATAATCTCCAACTATTCAAATATAATGTCAATCAACGTCTCCAGATGCATTGATCTATCCCCTGTCCTTCTCTTCATCCTTTCCTCTATCACTCCTATTTGCTCTTGCTCCAAATCTCTGTATCCGCTTGCGTGCTAGTGGCTTCCCGCCTTGCTTGGGTTGAAACGCTTAAAAATCGTGTAACAATAATTATTTATCCATAAACTATTTAATATCTAAAAAAAACAATGAACAAACTGAGTTTATTTTTCCCAGGTTTTCAGATAAGACATTTAACCATCTTGACACCATTTTTCGTAAGAATCACTGAAAAACCCTTTTAGGTTTTTCTGCTTAAAAGAGAGCAGGTTAAAATTGTTTCGTGTCAGTCCCACTGCCTTCCAAACTGAGCAATGATAAGAGGAAAAATACTATTCAAGCCTTCAGTAATGGTACCAACATTCATAGCCTGGCTTTTAGCTTCAAAGTCCATTCAAGAACCATCAAGAGAACGGTAAATAAGTTTAAAACATGGGGAACAGTAGAGAGGAAAAACTAGCTCAGGAGGTCACAACAGGAAGAGGGATAATCAATTCAACTAAAGAGATCAATTAGAAAAGATGCAACTCCATTCATAAGACGTTTGGCACGTGAGAGAAGAGTTTCATCTATGAGTCTAAAGTGCAGTGAAAAAAGACTTGAAATGAAAAAAATGAAATCATACGTGAAACCTGTGAGGCACCTTTTTATTCTAGGACAGAAAGTTAGTGAAGATTACCTTGAATGAGTTAGAAAATGATCCAGGAAATTATATATAATATTATATATATATATATATAATATATATATATATATATATATATATATATATATATATATATATATATATATATATATATATATATATATATATATATATATATATATATATATATATATATATATATATATATATATATATATATATATATATATATATATATATATATATATATATATATATATATATATATATATATATATATATATATATATATATATATATATATATATATATATATATATATATATATATATATATATATATATATATATATATATATATATATATATATATATTGAGATAAAGTTTTATATATTGAACTTTATTTTAATATTTCATGGGCTTCCGATCCTTGTTAATGATGAACATGTCATTTTCATTTATGATCGATTTCATCACGATTCTTCCGTTAAGCTCGGAGAGTAATTATACATTCTTATTGCTGAAAGTAGACTCAATAGTGCCATAAAATCCTCGGAGAATTCCAGTAAGATATTTTTAATCATTTCTAAGATGCAACTGTTCAGAGCTTAATCTAACAATTGGACAATTTTGCTGTTACACTCAGTAATACAAACTATCACAATGACAAAATCGGTCAATAATTCTTTATACTCATGCATGCAATTACAAGTAATCCATAGTAATATTTTTACATTTTGAAATCATATTTATTTTTGGCATGCAAATTTTTTTGAAACTGTTTCTAAATCTTTGATTGTCATTCAGTCTTTCCACCTCACCTGCTATACTCTTCCTCTGCACCTATGAAACGAGGCACACTGTTTGGGAACCACTGCGTTAGTCTCACAAATCATACCGAGATTTTTTTTACAAAGCAATCGGCTTCATTTATGCACAATGTCTTTTCGAGACATTGGCAGTCATGCCTCTCCACAAGTTTCTATCCTTTGTAACTCTAAGCCATATTTATCCAAGTCCCTGTTTTGCAATTTATTTACACAAGCTCCTTAGTTAGATTACTCATCACACTGCTTGATACACACCCTCACCGAGTCGGGATAGTTGGAGGAAGCAAAAGAAACAAGTTTCCAACTAGGAATTACGAGTACTTTAAAAATGTTGTCAGGGTGATAAAATACCCGGATGTGACTAACGCAGTTTTAAAGGGTTGAGGAAAAGTCGTTGTGCCAGGTTATTTAAAGAACTTATTATTGCTATATAAGTGTTGTGCCTAATTTCTCTGTTTTGAAACTTGATTCCAGGTTAGCTAGAAATGAAAATTTGTCCGATAAATTTTCGGCCGTCTGTGATGACGTAACGAAGAATCTGACAATCACCAAGCTGAAAAGGAAACATTCGGATAACCACAACAGACAATATGACATTCACATTTCTTATCCAGACAAATATTGGAAAGAAGTCGAAACAGTCTACAAGGTACTGAAAAGACACAATCCAAATTTAAATATATTTTATGATAAAATGGTACTGAAAAGAGGTAAGACTCCTTTTTATTTATTTTTTTTATTCTCATCTTTCAGTGTTTGTCAGTCTTCTTTCTTATATTTACGAGAACGAATCGAGTTTGTCGAGGGCTTAGTCCCAATATATCGCGGTGCTGTGGCTGCTCTACTACGTCCGACACCCCGAGCCTGAAGTCAAGTGGTCCACAAACGATCCCTAGTCTCACACTCCACGGGGGTTTCAAAATAAGACAGGAACGACAACAGCCGAAGGAGTAGCGACGACGAAAAATGTTTGCAATTATTTACAAGCATCTAAACCGGAACCGTGACGTCATGGTATTACAAAAAGGCGTCTCTTTTTGTCCCGCTGGAAGCTGCCAATAGAGGGCATCGTGGTCGCAAGGAGCCGCTACTTGCTACGACGACGCCCTCTATTGGGCGACATCGACAATCGCAGCCGCTCCTTGCGACGACGATGCCCTATATTAGCGGCCTCCAGCGGAACAAAAAGAGACGCCTGTCGTTGCGACATCGACAAGAGCAATTGTTCCTTGTGACGACGACAATGCTCGTAAATAATTGCAAACATTTTTTGTTATCGCTACTCCTTTGGATGATGTCAATTAACTCTTTAAAAAAATTATAAATGAAACACACAATGCACACTGTGATTTTTCGTAGCTAGATAGGCCACTTCTCGGTTTCATCTGACTCGGTCTTGTCTTGAAGCCAGAACGCCGCGATCGATCTCTCGTCTGTATTCCCTTTTGTGTGTTAACACCATTCTTAGTTCGGGAACTTTTTTTGCCATATTACTGTTGCCTTGTCTTGCCTTGAATATATTGTTTGCTTGCTTCTGCTCTGTCTTTCTTTTCTTTCTCTTATTGTTTACTGAAAACTTTGTCAATTCTGTTTGTTGGACATTTCTGCAAATTACATTGAACCATGGCCACTTACCCTTCAGTGTCGAACGTTAACATTTTGATGTTATTTTCTCTTGGAGTTAAATATGCTATCCATTTTAGTTGTTGCTACTGTTGAAAGTCTTCACCTGATGTCGTTTCTATTATTTTGTACACTTCTGTATTTGTGGTTCCGTAACGTCAGTTCAGAATATTCTAAGAATGTGAATTTTATTTTATTTTTATTCCTAGATTCACAGCAATAATGACGTTTTTACCCCTTTCTTTTCCTTCCAGGTTCTAATTGGACACATTCCACTTACAAATCACTTGAAGAAATTCGCTGTTGCATCATTCTCGTGTGTCCTGCTTATTTCGAAGCAGTCATGTGCAAGGAAGAATTTAATGTTGTTGTAGCTAGACGGCTATTTGAAGAATCTGTAAGTCCAAATAGAATTTTAAAAAATAAAATTACCTACATATAATTCTTGCCCCAATCAGTTGTTAACTGGGGCAAGGAATGGCTTGTAAATTTTAACACCTTCAAAACGAAACTGTTCTTTCTTAACAGAAAAGCATCCTCTGCCTTACAACAGTATGGCTGATGCTAGCCTCTAGGAGAGCAACTCTCTGCCCCTTCTCGGTCACACGTTTTCCACTGACATAAAGTGGAGTGATTACAGTGAATCAATTGCTGGCTTTACGACTAGTAAAATTGGTTCATTTTTCTCGTCAGAATCTGTCTTGACCATTTATAAATCTACCATTCGTCCATGCATTGAATATTCCTTGCATATTTGTCCTGGTGCTCCTGCTATATATTTCACGATTCTCGACAAAATTCAAAGAAGTCTGTATTGTTATCGGTCCTGACCTGGCATCTCGACTTCAGTCATTTTCTAACCGTTGTGACCTGGCTTCCCTCTGTCTTTTCTATAAATATTTTCATATCAATTGTTCTAATAAGCTTTCCTCCTCGGTACTTCGACAGAATAAATGTATAGATAAGGGTATTAACACATAAGTGAATGTAATGAACTCTACAGGGATTCGAACTCGGCTTTCCGATTCCTCAATCCGAGCCGCTATCTACTACTCCACCGTGCCCCCATTTAATTAGTTTAACAATAAAACAATGAGACTTAGTTGCTAATCTATATCCATTACATCACAACCTGGAATTATTTTATGTATAATTTAAAAGCATTGCTAATGATTTTAATATGGAAATGCATTGAAATCTAGGAAAAACGTGATTGTCATTGGTTAGGAATTAAGGCAAGCCTTACAGATCGAATAAGGTTATTATAGGAATAATTTAAATGCATTGAGAAACAGGAAGAAAGATTGATTGATTCGTATTATACAGCTTATCAACCCTTTGCAGGTTACTTAAAACCAGAAAATATTTTTAGATTCTAAGAACATTTTGGGGAGATAATAAAGATTTAGTGATACCGGTCTTACTAATTAGCCCATAGCTCGGGGGGAGAAGAGTTTGATTCATACCTTTGGCAAGAGTGTTTGCGCGTAACTGAATATAACGAACCAGACTTGAATTGGAACTCTGCTCTCAGATTAACAATTCCGAGTCATTATCCATTTTCACAATCCGTACATCCAAACTTGCAGCACCTGCTATTCCCAAGTGGTCACCCATCTAGGTAGTGGACAGGCTCGGCGTTGCTTAACTTCGGTGATCGTACGGGAACCGGTGTTTCAACACTATGTGGCTGCAAGCCGAGGAAAGAGATTGAGAGACCAGGATTACTGAACGTAGGCTATCCGCCATTTTAAAACTTCTTTGTTCTAATATCTTGCATCATTTTCTTTTCCATTTTCAGAAGAAAGACATGGCGGTAATCCCAATCTGTATTTCTGATGTTGAATCCATTCCTGATTGGTTTGGAAAAGTGAATATTATCGACGCTCGGGGATCGAACTTTCACACAACCATAGAGATGCTGTCTGCAAAATTGAAGTTAAGCTTCAAGAATAACACACTCCAAGAGGATTTTGATTGGCTAATGGAACAAGAGGTAAATGGCTTTTGTCGCGCTTTATTCTGTTAAATCCATTATATATTCATTAATTTGATTTACTTGTTGTCAGCAGCCGCTCGCATCCGAGCATCGATATCAACATCCCTTCTCTCTAATTTCTCCCTTGCTGGTGGTGTCGAAGATAGCTGTGAATCTGAGGAGGGCATGCGCATGAATTTGATTTTGATGGACAACTCTGAGTGGCGGATAAGCCCACACACTTGACCGAAAGTTCCTGCCTCGTGGCTCAAAGGGAATTGAGTCAGGCGATATCTGGCAAACCTGGTTGCATCGGGCTGTTGGATGTTTGGTCTGTCAATGTCTGCCTTGGTTACGGCACCCTGACTGGCGCTGCCCTCTTCCGACGATTTGGCCGTTGAGATCTTTGCCTATTCTGCCGTTGAGGTCTTCGGGGATTGGTCGCGTTCAGGCTGGTCTTTCCAGGATTTGGAACACCAGACAGCTTCGTTCTTGCGATCGCTGGAACAATAATAATACTGTTATAACACGCGTATGATAGTATGGAAGAACAAACGAAACAACAGTACCACTGGTGAGGCGAAAGGAAAAGGTGACAAGAATTGTAAATATAAAAAATCTTTTGTATTGGACATGCAGCGGATGCGGGCCGGTGTGTCTCTAAATGCAGACGAGAGAGGCAGCTTTGTAGGAAGAGTAGAGTTGGTAATGCCTGGAGTTGATGCGTTTGTCAGGTCGGTTGACCGAGGTCATTGTGGAGCGGAATAGTGAAGTCGTTAATCTGACTTTGCCGATATTGAGGATACGAGCGGAATGTCTCTGTAGACAAGATGTGGGTGTTTGGAAGAGAGGGGGCCTCGAGCGGATATGCGTGTCGGTTGGTGACACTGGGAGCCCGTCGATGTCGACCACTATTATAATACTGGTAATACTTACCTACTTTTGTATGACTTATTTTCACTCATACCGTCTCCAATATGGAAATGCACTGGACGGCATTGAAGATGACATTTTTTTGGTGGTGGGAGGAAAAGGACAAGAAGACTCTATAAACAACGACATCAAAGATGATATAGGTATCTACTACGCCGACCATAGCCGTGTGTTCGCCGAGAGTGTGTACGTGTGAGTAACAACATCGGAAAGGCTGTTGGACACCCTTCATTATATAGGTGTTAAACAAGCAGTTTTTTTAAAATTCGCAATAAAGCGCCCCGATTGGTCAATAAATCTAAGAAAGGCGTTTCTTTTCAAATTATATCAACTTAATCCGGTTGTTATTGGCTGAATCCTTTCAATCCCGAATTAGAAGATTGTAAATCGAAAGAAGCATTTTATTGGCTCTAAAATAATTATTTATTAGATTTGAATTTAGGCTGAATCATATTTGATGGATTACTTTTTATCTTGTAACTTGAAGCGAATCTAAAACAAATATGTTAATATTTCATCAAAGAAATACGTAAGTGGAAAGACTATATTGAATCCATTGCTAGGTCTGCTGCAAAGAAAGTTGGTTCACTGTATCGAACTAGACAATTTTTCTTGCCAGAATTGATCTTAGATATATCTATCATTCGTCCTTAGAATATTGCTGCCACATAGGTCCAATGACCCTGTTGTATATAGTATAAAATCCAATGAAGAATCAGCAATATTATTGGTCCTGGCCTGGCGGCTCGGCTTCTGTCACTTTCCCACCGCCATAAGGTTACCTCCCTGTGCCTTTTCTATAAATACTTTCACGGTAATTGCTCGGATGAGCTATTGGCTGTTGTACCTAGACTTGATGAATTTAAGCGTAGTACTAGATTGGGAATAAGGTCTCATCAATTTACAGTTGAATTGGCTAGATGTAACCGTAAGTTCTTTGATCTTCTAAAATTTAAATTCAATGTTAATCATTATCTACTGTCTTCCTGATTACTCTCATAATGTGTCTGTTTTCTAATTCTTTCTCACTCAGTAACCCCTTGTGTTTATGACTTGCGAGGAGTGAATTTCATTTTAAGAAAAAGAAATATATTTTACATATGTCTATATTTCTGAGATGTGGTATTGTAACTATTTACACTGTTTACATTGTTGTCCTCGTCTTTATTGCTATATTCACGACGTTTCAGCCGTTGTGCACTCCGGCCTTCTTCAGGTGATATACGTTGGAATTTCAGACCGAACCCATTATTTAGCCCACGGGGTTTAGACTGTTCCAAAGGACACATGGACCAGTGGATAAAAGCGTTGGTTGAGTGATTCAAAGACAATCAAAAGAGTTGTGAGTTCAATACCTGGCCACAGCAGAGCTAAACAAAACTTGAAGTGTTATATTACTAAGGGGAATTAACTGAAACTGAGATATCCCCAAAAGGCACGGCACATGGAATTAGAACAATCTACCCACGGGGACTAAATAAAGGGTTCGATTCGAAATTCCAACGTATATCATATGAAGAAGGCCGGAGTGTACAACGGTCGAAACGTCGTAAATATCTGAACGATGTGAATATTCGAAATATATTTTCTTCAAACGTGTACTCGTATTTTAAATCCTGCTTTCAGTAATTAAAACTATTGTTTCAATGTAATTTTAGATCAATAAAAACAAGTCTTTCAAAGGAGAACTTCGTCACTACAGAAGACATCAGTTCTACACGCGCTTTTTTGAACACGAGGCCATGGTTATCCCAAGAGAGCTACCGGGAAACTTTGCAAGCCCTTGCAATATTCTTGTCTGCTTTAGCACCTACGACCGTCGGATCGCCGGCCTGCTGATTGATATTCTCCTCAAGGAAATGCCTTGGATACACGTGATGTTACTCAACAAGCCGAATAAGGATTCGTTCTATCAGCTGAACAAAGCCGACCACATAGTCATGTTTGTGTGCGAAGATTACCTTTCGTCACCGAAAGGTCTCGAAATCCTGTCGATCTGTTTGAAGCGTCAAAGGAAATCCGACCGTCGAATCCTCCATTTTGCATGCACAAGTTTAATTCCCAACTGCCTGTCGTACCTTCAGATCTTGCCCTACAGTGTCCTCTTCACGGATCAAATTTGGGGTGATATGCGAAAGCGGTACCCTGAAAAAGGTGTTATGAGAGTCACCGTGAGGGGGGTCAACGGAAAATTTACCTGCGAAAAATTCGAATACATGGCTCTTGAGAAATTGGCCCACGATATTATGTTTTCAGAACAATTCGGGTGAGTACGATATATCGACCTTTTTATTTCCTATTTTGCCGTTTACGGCTTATAAGGCTTTGAGCTGATTTTAATAAGCATAGATGTGACGCAAGGCCGAAAGTATGGGACACCCAGTGAGGATCGAACTCACTACTCGGTCGTAATTAATGTAGCGAGACAAGCTTGCTAACCATTACACCACATCGAAGTGCTCTGTAAATGGTGACTTTCTAAGTGTAGCTTAGATGTGGCACAAGACCGAAAGTATGGAGCACTCAGTGAGGATCAAACTTACTACTCAGTCGTAATTAATCTAATATTTAAACATTTCTAGCTTCAAATATCTAGAGAGCTAAAGTCTCAGTTAATCTTTTTTACAGTAAGATTCACCTTGTCTTCTAATAAATGCTCACAAGCAATGATCGTGAGCTGGTAGAGTAACAGATATCGGCACCAAAAGTAGAATAGGCGAGCCGAGTTAAAATTCAAGTCTAGTCTGTTGCATTCACTTTTGCAAAAATGTTCTTGGGGGCAGTCATGGACCCATCTCTTCTCCCTCCAGCTATGGGTTAAATAATGCGGTAAACTGGACTCACTGGTATTGGGTGACTGTGATTCTAGGAGAGAGCAAGACATTCCTGAATTAAAAAAAAAAAAAAACAAACCAAAAAAAAAAAACAAAAAAACAGAAGGCAACCGGATATCAGTCCACTATCTTTCACAAAAGGTCGCGACCATTCACACACATTAAAAGAAAGCTGTGGAGAGCCATAATCACTTTTGTTCAGAAAGGACATGGCAATGAAAAGAATGTCAAAACTGATTATAAAAGTTGATCAAATAAGACCAACCAATATGCAAATTTAGCACATTTTATCTTTGAAAATGTAATCTAAGCTGGTGGGAAAATGTAATTTAAGCTGGTGGGGAAAATGTAATCTAAGCTGATTACTAGTTAGCCTTTTGCAACATGACGTGCTCCCGAATCGTAAGTAATAACAATTTTTTGCAACATCCACTACTTTTCCTTTTCAGGGTCTGATAGAAGGGATGTAACATATTTCTACACTTTTTAGCGTAATCTCATTATAGAAAGCGAAATCTTTTAGTTATTCATCATAAGTATTTGGATAATTATCTGTTCCGACGAACAGATACTATCAAAATCGCTTAGCATCTATCTCATAACCCGAATTTATTATCAATTAAACAGGTTCATTGTTTTAATTAATCTATTAATTTTGTTTTGTTTTCAGATGTTCATCGCCAGATGAATTAGAGAATCTTGTCCCTATTTTAAAAATAAGCCAGGAAGGAAAACAGGAAGAACTGACTTTGAAAGAAGTAAGAAACCGCTTTTTTTAAATTATTAATTATATTCTGTTATTTCCCGTCGTATGACGGTGCTTTAATATTGGAATATACACTTCCAGTTTATGGGTTTTATCATTTATGCTCATTCATACTTTTTTTTTTTAAATTTCATCCTAAGCAAGGCAATAAAGCCACTAGGTTACAAGGAGTAACTCGAGTGC